AAATTTTTGTAAAAATCCATAACGTGCTAATTATAATTAGTAAAAGAGTACCACACACAAAAGTTTTAAAATATAGGCTAGTAAAATATAGGCTAGTAACATTTTCAAAATCTTGAACTTAATCACAACCTTATACAAAACATATTGAAATCAACTCACTGACTACCAAAAATGCTACAGTGAGATTAACGACTTGAGAAAGTGCCTCAGTCTGTGTCAACTAAAACAACAAGCAGCTAGAACCAGATGCTGAAAAAGCCATAGACAGAACATTTATTCATACCTCACATTACCAAAAAAAACAAAAAACTTGCCAGGTAGATTTACATGGTGATTTTAAAATGTCAACTCAGAAGGCTTTGCAAAATGTTTCTTAAAACCATAGAAACAAGGGTTATTTCATATCAAGACTATATAACATACAGCAACTTTTTGAAAACTGACAACTTGAAATTTGAAAAATGGTCTTCAAGTAAGAAAAGCTATTAGGCTTTTTTTTTGTTCTTTTTGATAGAGTTTCTAAGAAAGAGAAACAGGTTTCTGATTTCAACTTAGCTAGGAGAAAAACACAAAACTTTAGTAACCACCAATTTTATATATATATATAAACTTCTTATTAAAATATAATTATCTTTTGGGGAAAATGGGACAGATTTGGAAAACAAAATGATTTAATATAGTCTGTGATTCTTTAAAAATTAAATATAATTGAATTCAAATGCATATTGGAGCCTATTTTTCTACTTACTACATACACTCAATAAATTATAACTATCAACTTATTTTGTGACTTGTTAAAATATATTTAAAGTATCTACACATAGATGGTTCTTTGTTGATAGTCTTAAAGAGTATTCAGTGCCAGGTTTGATTTAATTGGAAAACTGTGTTTTAATGGTAAAACACAACCACCATCAGAAATTTTGTCTAAAATAGCATACTTAGTACTACATGTTATTTTTTAAAAAAACTCTTACTATAAGAAATAATATTTTCATTGCATGTATTTATTAATTTTCTTAAAAACATGAAGGAAAACCCAATGGGTGAAATTTGAATAAACAAACATGTATTTTAAGACGTGCATTCCCAGAAATCAGCATTTCGTTATCTCCTTTTCAACCATTTTTCAAATATAATAAAGGCCAAGTACATTAAAATATTTAAATGGAATGTATTCTGCTAAAACTCTAGTTTATAAATATTAACTCACACACAATTGGCATATGGGAATAATTTCAGTATTACACAAAAGTCACAGCTATCCATTTGTTATTTTTTTCTCATTACTTTAACATTTCATGTCACCAAGTACCAGCCGAGGATCTCAAAGTAAAGAACACAGCTAAACACTACAACCCACAAGAGGCACAGGCTGAAGTAACTTTCTCAGAAAAGGTGTGCAGAAAGCAAAGTTCTTTTATGTCTGAAAAGGCTTTTTCTTGCCCTCATAGTTTATCTGGGTCTAGAATTCTTGGTTATAATACCTTGCTTCATTACCTTCTGGTTTTCAGGGCTGCTGCTGAGGAATGGGTGCTACTCTCATTCTTGTTCCTTTGTAGCTGAGTTTCCTTTTTCCATCTTGGGGCTCTTAGGATCTTCTCATTTTCTTGTACTCAGGATTCACATATTATGTCTAGTTAGAGGGTTTTTAACTCTTTCTACTTATTTTTCAGTAAGCCTACTCAATTTGATTATGCTTTCTTCACATCTGGGAAAGTATCACATTCTTCCTTTGCTAATTTCCTATTCTTTGCTTTCTCTCTTTTATCTTTTCTATCTTTTCAATGTCTTATTCTTTCTACATTTTAGGAAACTTTCTTGATTTATATTTAAACTTTGGCTGAATTTTTATTTTCACAACAATCGCCTTATTTCCAAGAGCCCTTTTTAAAATAGCAGCTTTATTGAGATATAATGCAAAAACCGTAAAATTCACCCTTAAAGTGTACAATTCAGTGGCTTTTAGTATATTCAGAGTTGTGCAATCATCACCATTATATAATTTGACAACATTTTCATCACCCAAGACAAACCCATATCCAAATTTCCTCAACTATGGGAAAGATATACAGCTGTAAAGCCATACATATTATAATATAACCTGAATGAAATTTCTGTTGGGAGACATAACTGTACTTAGCTATACCAGCAAACTGAGATACAACAGAAATGAGAACATTCTAGTAACTATAGCTACAACTGAACTCTGACTTTTTAAATATAATAATACTGTCATAGCATCATTTTTATCATATTTAAATTTTTAATAGAAGTATAAGTCCATCAAAGGTAAAAGAGGAATGGAAGAGTACTAAATGATGGAGCAAAACAAACAATAAAAATAAATCTCTTATTTTCAACCACCCAAAAAGGCTTTGCTTAGAATAAATGAAAAGGCACCAC